TAAGATCCTCACATCCCATTGGTATCAGCATTAATCTCTGATATAGTAGATGACATAACAAATTTGTACTGCTTACTTAGTAAACAAAACATTTATATTGATTAAACTAAAACTATATATAGATTGCACTGTGGTCGTTTTTGAAGTCACGTGGTACTTGTTTACTCTCCTGTGCAGGATCATGTGAGCAGAGATATCTACAGTGGTCTACGTATATAAGGGCAGCCAGCCTCGGCACAATACACTTCGATATTTTGTCTCGCTGCGTCAGTGAACGTACAGACAAACATATTGCTTTCCTGCAATCATACACTGTAACATCTTTGCAAAATTAGAACATACAACACCAAAATGGCCGAAAGTCAACCTCGCCAGAACTTCAATACTGAAACCGAGGCTGGAATCAACCGCCAGATTAATCTGGAATTGTACGCCAGCTATTGCTACCATTCTATGGTAAGATTTCGTCATCAGATCGATACGTAATCAATAATTGCATGCAGTAATGCCTTATCTAAACATAAAGAACGTGAAATCAATAACATGAAATAAAAAATAAATATAATTTTGTTATCTTTAATTCTAAAACTATTAAATAACCTCTTTATTGTTTGCAGTCATATTACTTCGATCGTGACGACGTCGCTCTCCCAGGATTCGCAAAGTACTTCAAAGAGAAGTCGGATGAGGAACGTGAACACGGCGAGAAGTTCATGAAGTACCAGAACAAGAGAGGGGGCAGTATTGTCCTTCAGGATATCAAGGTCAGAATATATCTGTCTCTCTAAAAGGGGACAGGGATGCCCTTCAAGGTCAGCACATACCTGTCTTTCTAAAAAAGGGACAAGATTGTCCTTCAGGATACTAAGGTCAGCACATACCTGTCTACCTAAGAGAGGGACAGGGTTGTCCTTCAGGATACTAAGGTCAGCACATACCTTTCTATCTAAGAGAGGGACAGGGTTGTCCTTCATGATACTAAGGTCAGCACATACCTTTCTATCTAAGAGAGGGACAGGGTTGTCTTCAGGATACTAAGGTCAGCACATACCTGTCTACCTAAGAGAGGGACAGGGTTGTCCTTCAGGATACTAAGGTCAGCACATACCTTTCTATCTAAGAGAGGGACAGGGTTGTCTTCAGGATACTAAGGTCAGCACATACCTGTCTACCTAAGAGAGGGACAGGGTTGTCCTTCAGGATACTAAGGTCAGCACATACCTGTCTACCTAATAGACGGGTATGGATTGTCCTTCAGAAAGTCAATGTCAGCACATACCTTTCTCTCTAAGAAAGGGAAAAGATTGTCCTTCATATCAATGTCAGCACATACCTGTCTATCTAGGAGAGGGATAAGGTTGTCCTTAAGGATGTCAAGGTCAGCATATATGTGTCTCTGTAAAAGAGGGAGAGGGTTGACCTCCAGGATATCAAGGTTTACGCATTCCTGCCTTTCTATGAATTACTTTAGCGGCGTCAAAAAGTTAGGTTATGATAAAGAAAGAGGTATGTTTTGTTGATATTGTAAAGTCGGTCAAGGGCATGGCAGACTGACTGATATCCGTCAATCATCTTTCAACGTTGTAAATAATATGATGCAATTAAGAACTGGTGTACGATGCGGTCTATCTGCCACTATGATAACAGATGTGAATGCACAATAATGACACAAATCTAATTATAGAAACCCGACCGAGATGAATGGGGAACTGGACTGGATGCAATGCAGGCGGCCTTGACCTTGGAGAAGAATGTGAACCAGGCTCTTCTTGACCTTCACGCCGTTGGAGATAAACATGGTGACAAACAGGTGATTAGTCAACAGTTATATAACTACGTTCATTTCATATTTGCCTTAAGCTAACACACTTTGATTGTATATATACTACTTTTCATCGTCATTTAAGATAATATTTGAGAATACCTTTATCTAAAAGAAAATTATAGAATAGTACTCCCGTTTTAGTAAGTAACCGACTTCAGCCAGATGCATTTGATTCTGTATTCTTAACGATGATTTTGTTTTAATGTGTTAAATTTACTGTTCACATAATAGGAAAAGTCATTTGGTTTAAAATTGATATGGAGAGAACTATTTTATTAATTTTCTAATAGATCATATTCTATGTATTCTACCACTTAGTTCATGGACTTCCTGGAGAGTGAGTACCTGGAAGAACAGGTGGAAGACATCAAGAAGCTCTCTGACCACATCACTAACCTGAAGCGTGTTGGAACTGGCCTCGGGGAGTATATGTTCGACAAGAAATCCCTTGAATAAAAACCGGCATCCAAAGCAACCTGAACACGCAATGTGTTCCCAAGAACTCTTACCCACACATGTCGACATAAGGATTAACAATTAACAATAGATGGAAAGGAATTACAAACGAAAAAATGGAAACAAATTGTTCAAAAATATGTATTTAACTACAGGATAAAAAATAATAATCTTAAGAAAACAAGAAATAAAAAATGCAAGAAATGTGTTTTTGTTAATGGTTATTAATCAATTCGTGTGTGACACAGCAACGTTTCCCACTTGCTCCCCATACAAGACATTAATACAAATGAGGAAAAACAGTCAACTCAACAGATTATCTCTTCTTTAGTACTATATAACAATTTATCGTTACTATTCGGGAACGTTTTCTAAAAGCTTTTTGTTTTATTCCTTTGCTGAAAAGCTATATGGGACATACTTATGGGAACCTGATTGAAGAACATTTATCGCATTGTCTGTAGACATTTCCTTGTTAAGTCACTTGAACCAAAGGCTCAAGGTGACCTGTAGCCATAGCTTTTTGTCCAAAGTCATACATCGTTTATTATTCACATTTTTAACTTCTTCTCAAGAACCACTTGGGTCGATTTCAACCAAACTTGGTTGCTATCTTTAATACATGAAGGCGCAGCAAAACTCCAAAATATGTGGTCCAAATCCCCCTAGGGACGATGGGGCATAATTAAAACAGTAAAAAATGATACTTTAAAAAATCTTTTCTACTTGGAAACATAACTGAAAAATGTATTTACTATGGATGTCTTGTCAAAGAGTAGCCTTAGCAAAATTGCGAAATTCGGGTTCCCTGAATTGACCGTTTAGCCATCAGGGATGGGGCTGTTTTGGGGCGGAGCATAAATACTGAAACAGACTTAAAATTCCGATTGGTTTGAGAACCGTATTAGGTTTTAAGGTCAAGGGGACCGTCGTCCATTAACTTTTCATACTTTTAGCTTCTACTCAAGAGCAGTTTAGCTCCGGGGACGGGGACAATTTTAGACAAATTCAAAATACCATAAATCAACAATTGCCAGAAAACCGTCATTTTACAGGCATATGCATTTGATTATTTTGGACATCAATCTATAAAATTTAATGCAAGGCCATAACATCATTACAATTACTAATGTATGACATGGCAATGGTAATTTTACAAGAACATAATATAACATACCATAGGAGTATCGACACAAACCCCGTCGATGTTAGATATACCAAAATGAAAATACCGATATTAACAAAAGAAAGATTGACATGAAAAAATAACAAGGAGAATAAGGAGAAAAACATGCGTCTTCTGTTTCATCGACGACGTCCGCCATGTAGCCATTTTATTTAAGTAATGACGTTTCAAATTGAGAAAAAGGTGAATGATAACGGAATCACCCGGTACACTAACTATAATGAAACACGACCAACATCTTATCGCTTGCACAAGAAAATGTTATATTTCCCTAAGAAATCATTATGACGACCGTAAATGAAGGTTTCATTAGTCTGCATATACGAAAATAATTATATTTGGAACAAAACCTTGACTATCAAATCAGCTACGACATGTAAACATCATATGTTTGAGTTGCTGGAATATTATTATCCAGAAATGGAAAAGTCAATGTAAAATACGTCCAGTTAAGACCCAAGTGTTAGTCATTAGTTAGTAAGTTATCTGTGATTTGTTTATCAGATACAGTAACTGTTGTTGCCATCTCGTGAACCCTTCACATAATTGAATTTTTACTATTGACTTTACATGTATCTTGTTTCAGTAAGAATAAGTGCTGAAATCTGACGAGTCTTAAAAACAAATACTTCTTTTTATACAAAGAATAAAAGAATCGCCTTGTAATACTTTTAAAATTCTGTAGTATTCCAATCGTATTCTTTAAAGATAGAAATGAAGCCTAGCTATTGATCATTTGTATAAATATGATCAGGCCTGTAGCATAACTGAAGAGTTATATAAGGATGAAACAGCTGTATGATGTAGTTTCATTCATTATTTCACTTCGGCTATACTATATCTGATTCTACTATTGTATTCTATCGAGCTATTTACTTTTGTGTCTTTTGTACCACCCTTCAATGAGCCTGCACTTTTGTTATGGCATGCTTCAAAGTTTGCATAATATCGAAAATGAAATCCTTACAAACTGAAGATGGTGACCTTTGTATCCTGGACAGGAGAAGCAATGACCGATAAAATTTGCGTGATGTATGCCATTAAACTGAACGATGTATGAAGTTCTAGCAATGAAACGATCAACAATTTAATGTCTGTTCTGATGATAACTTTTCGAAGGTTAGATGACAGAAAGTAATTAAAGTAAAAATGATATGTTGCTGCAATTCTTTTACCGCTACAGGCGTTAGAATATGTCACTATATAATGACTTCGTTTAATACTTCTATGTTGTGACATGCTTAGTACTAGGCTGTCACACTTTCCATGTGATTTGTTTATCAGATACAGTAACTGTTGTTGAGAACCCTTCACATAATGTACTATTGTTTACATGTATTCAGTGTCATCATTCTTCACCTTACGGTGTAATTCACGGTATCTTCAAACGATAAACTATCTACTAGTTCTGACCCGACCCGTGGACACTCCAAAGTTTACAATCAACGTGACTGAGTGATAATCAAATGTCACGTGACATAACATTTAGACTATATAAGAATACGCATTCTAGAAACATACATACTTTGATATTTTGTCTCGCTGCGTCAGTGAACGTACAGACAAAAATATTGCTTTCCTACAGTTCTATATTGCAACATCTTTGTAATTTCTTATTTTCACAACATCAAAATGGCAACAAGTCAACCTCGCCAGAACTTCCATGCTGAAACTGAAGCTGGAATCAACCGCCAGATCAACATGGAGTTGTACGCTAGCTATGTCTATCAGTCCATGGTAAGTAGACAAAATATATCAGAACTTGTCTAATAACATTAACTAGAAATCAGCGAAAGGCGCTGTTACTTCTGTAACGACGCCTTCGATATCATGGCAATGTCGTTAGAATAGTGTATGGTTGATAAAATCATAATTAATGGCAAAGGTAGCCATCAATGCATTGCAATGTATATGTATTACAATATATCGGATTTACTTTCGCAGTACCTTCACTTCGATCGTGACGACGTAGCTCTGCCAGGATTCGCAAAGTACTTCAAGAAGGCTACGGATGAAGAGCGTGAACACGCCGAGAAGTTAATGAAGTACCAGAACAAGAGAGGGGGCAGAGTTGTCCTTCAGGATATCAAGGTCAGTACATGTTAGTTTATCCATTTCACACACACAAATGTATTTATATTAATCTTAGTCATTTAGTGGCAGACATGTACATGTACTTTGTTTATGATTATATAATAAACCGAAAGTTGTTTTTTCAATCAACATTCAATAACAGAAGTTTTTTAAATGTCAATAGTATAACTTTAGAAAATGTATTCAGAAACCCGAGAGAGATGAGTGGGGAACTGGATTGGACGCCATGCAGGTGGCTTTGACCTTAGAGAAGCAAGTGAACCAGTCACTCCTTGACCTTCACGATGTTGGAGATAAACATGGAGACAAGCAGGTACGAGGATGTGTGGGGTTCGGGGTGGTAACGCAGACAGGTGTCTTCTTTTGTATTCAGATAAGTTCAGTTGTCTTGCAATACATTTTATAAGTGATATTACGCTATCACCATTTTTTTATATTTCTGGCAAGCTACTTTCCAAGTTGCACACTAAACTTTTAAGAACAAGTTTCCCTTACTTGAATGTTACATCCTCTTCAAAGATTTTGTTAAACTATTTAAAATGCATATGTATTTACCTAGTCATCATTGTATATTTTACTTATACTGTAAATCATATACGAAAAAAGGCTGTTGCTTGAAACTGAAATTAATTGTTTTTCAGTTCATGGACTTCTTGGAGGGAGAGTATTTGGAGGAGCAGGTGAACGCCATCAAGGAAATCTCGGACCATATTACCAACCTCAAGCGTGTTGGTTCTGGCCTCGGAGAGTACATGTACGACAAAGAGTCCCTGGAATAAACCCCTGAAAGCTCACCAAACGAAAAAAAACATTGAACAACTTCACACGACAAGAACCAAGAAATTGTCTTAAATGAGATAGTAGAAGTGGAAAAAAAAATGAGAGAAAACCATTTTTAAAAGGCTTTAACTTCAAACTTCAAAAATGTAAGATTGCTGAGTTAACAAATGACTATCAACAACGTATTAACAATACATAACTACAAAAAGTCTACATCAAGAAGAAAAATACATAAAAGATCAGGGGAATAAAAATGAGAGATAAAATAAATAAAAAAATGCAAAAGATTAACATTTCGTTGTTTTATTTTAATTGACACAAAGTGACAATATACTTTCTCAAAGTCATAATATTTAACATTTCTTATACCTCCCAGCGTGTCAAAGGGTATGATATTTGCATTAGAAGATGGACGTATTGGTCTGAATATGCAATTGGGATGGAAATTTACTGATATCTCTAATAAAAGATTTCAGTCATAACAAGTCCTTGTTAGATACTACTCATTTAGAGATTATGTGTTGATGATGTAACTTAATAAAACACTTCACACCGGAAAGTTTACCAACGTGCCACAGCGATCACTAATTAATACCAGATATGTAAAATGTTTACAGCCAATAGATTCCTGTATTATAAGACATCTTATAAATGTAAATGGCTACCTCAACGGGGGTAGTTAATTAACAATAAAAAGACTGAACGACTACATGTAAACAATGAATTGTGACAGACAATGGTAGTCAGACAAATAAACGATAGAAACAGCAATGTCTGAATGTTAGAACTAAACCTGGTCAACAGTACAAAAGTTACAAAGAATTTCTTACGATAAAACTAAATAAAGCAGACAGTAGAAAGTTGTAGATGGTGTTAGAACTAAACCTGGTCAACAGTACAAAAGTTACAAAGAATTTCTTACGATGAAACTAAATAAAGCAGACAGTAGAGAGTTGTAGATGGTGTTAGAACTAAACCTGGTCAACAGTACAAAAGTTACAAAGAATTTCTTACGATGAAACTAAATAAAGCAGACAGTAGAAAGTTGTAGATGGTGTTAGAACTAAACCTGGTCAACAGTACAAAAGTTACAAAGAATTTCTTACGATGAAACTAAATGAAGCAGACAGTAGAGAGTTGTAGATGGTGTTAGAACTAAACCTGGTCAACAGTACAAAAGTTACAAAGAATTTCTTACGATGAAACTAAATGAAGCAGAGAGTAGAAAGTTGTAGATGGTGTTAGAACTAAACCTGGTCAACAGTACAAAAGTTACAAAGAATTTCTTACGATGAAACTAAATAAAGCAGACAGCAGAAAGTTGTAGATGGTGTTAGAACTAAACCTGGTCAACAGTACAAAAGTTGCAAAGAATTTCTTACGATGAAACTAAATAAAGCAGACAGTAGAAAGTTGTAGATGGTGTTAGAACTAAACCTGGTCAACAGTACAAAAGTTACAAAGAATTTCTCACGATGAAACTAAATGAAGCAGAGAGTAATGAGTTGTAGATGGTGTTAGAACTAAACCTGGTCAACAGTACAAAAGTTACAAAGAATTTCTTACGATGAAACTAAATAAAGCAGACAGTAGAAAGTTGTAGATGATGTTAGAACTAAACCTGGTCAACAGTACAAAAGTTACAAAGAATTTCTTACGATGAAACTAAATAAAGCAGACAGTAGAAAGTTGTAGATGATGTTAGAACTAAACCTGGTCAACAGTACAAAAGTTACAAAGAATTTCTTACGATGAAACTAAATAAAGCAGACAGTAGAAAGTTGTAGATGGTGTTAGAACTAAAGTAAAACAATGATTACTTGGTAAATAATGAGAAACAGCTAGCAATAAAAAAAAATTTACATGAAGGGAAAGTAGATAAATGATAAATGTGAATACTAGAAATATACCCTGGGAGGCTACACGATGTTCAATCTGTATACTAGTGTATATCATCTTTTACAAATGTTAGGAGGAAGTGTCTCATACCAGTTTGCTTGTTAACAGCTGATGCTGATGTGTCATCCTCTTGAAGACTTGGTCCATGATATTTTATTATAAAGGAAACCTAACACGTGCTACTTAATTCGTCATATGTTTGTTAGAGGAAGTTTGATATTGTAATGGAGTAAACAGCAGAAAATGTAAGTGTGATTGGTCTTTGTACATTTATGCTGCGTAGAAAGGCTGTAGAAATTTTAAAAAATCACATGGTGTTCTATTATAATTGTATATTATTGGACTGTACTGAAAGTGAAGTAGTGATACCAAACACTGTAAAAGTAGGATATTAAGTGGCGTGGACATGATTACATAGCTAGTGTAATCCCACTGACTCGGATATAGCTTTTCAATTTCCATACAAGTGGTACATTAAGTGACAGTGTTACACAGCTGTGCACAAGTGTTGCTAAACCGATAAAATTAACCGCAATACTTATTCTCAGAAGACTAAAATTTATTCATCGTATCCCATGCGACTATGCGAGTACTTGTGCTACCTAGAAACACGGAGAAAAAAAAATTTCCTTTGTATGTAGTTACATGGGTTAAACTTACTTAATTTACTACAAGACGGGTCATATATACTGTTATTTGTCAACTTGGGGTTTTAACCGTAGCTCGGAGAAACGCTGGTGACTGTCATGAATACCTTGTACCTACCACAGGGACTTGACACTAATTCCCAACCCATGGACCATAGATATATGTATTAAGTCACTATGACTCACGTATATATGGTCTGTGGGTTGGAAATTCGCGCCAAGTCCCTGTTGTACCTACCAAACATTGTATTTCATCAGACGTTTTACATAATAAATTCACTTCGCCTTAAGCTAGATAGATTAATCGTATATTACTCAATTACTTATCTAGAAAAGTCAGTTTTTTTAATTGACAATTAACGTATATTATCGTAATTAAGACTGAGTGTTTTTCGTTGATTGACTTAAGTCTGTTTTGATTGTCTGCTTTAATCCATCAATCCTTTATCAGATTTGTCGGGATTTCAAAAAGAACTTTCTATCAAAATTCATTCTGTATCTTCAATATTTTAAAAGGAAGAAATATATTTATATACTTGTTACAATGAATTACCCCATTGTATGACAAGATTATACCTGTTATTATCAATATCAGTTATAGTAGATTGTATGACAAGATAATACCTGTTATTGTCAATATCAGTTATAGTAGATTGTATGACAAGATAATACCTGTTATTGTCAATATCAGTTATAGTAGATTGTATGACAAGATAATACCTGTTATTGTCAATATCAGTTATAGTAGATTGTATGACAAGATTATACCTGTTATTGTCAATATCAGTTATAGTAGATTGTATGACTTTATTGATAACCTTCGTCGTCAGAAGAAAGGGATGCTGGAAAAAACCTTGGTTACATGGTTGATTACGTAATAACTGTATAAACAGATATTAAAACTCTTTCCAATGTCGTTCTGGTAGTTATAAAATTACGAGTCTGAAAAATAAATCTACACACATATAAGCCAAACTTATCAGATTCGAGATAAAACATTGATACGTTTAGTCGTATCAATATTCTCAGTTGAATCACATTCTCATTTATCTATTATACCGCGTAAGGTAAAATGTGTTAGATTTATTACTGTGTAAAATAACAAATACAACCTGGTAGTTTTACAAAGGGTTGAGTAGAGAGTAATGGTATCTCTCTGCGTTAAGAACAGTATTTTAAAATGCCGATTGAAGTTCCAACGACGTCACAGAGGTCTTTATTTTATTTCAATGCCTCCGCTAGGGTTCTAACCCTCGGACTTCTGGCTCACTAGTCTGACACTCAGGCGATCGAGCGGTACGTTGCGGCTAGTCTTTTACCAGATACAAATACATATATTTTCATCAGTGTCACATATCAATACATAATATATTCACAGAATGCTTACATTTATATTTTTTAAAAAATAATCAATACCCAGCCATATTTGGCTTACTAGACACTAAATTCAACTACAGAAGATTTGATAAAAAGTTCTGTCTTCTCTAATGCATATAAAACTTAGTTTTGGAAACATCTTTTTGTAAACGGTCTTCTTTCATTAAGAATATCACTTGATCTTTATTACTAAGAAAAGTTAAAATTGCGTGATATTGTTTCTGGTATATTAAAGACTTTAAGTCTAAAGTCAGGTAAGGTAAAAGTCACAATCTATAAAAAAAAAGTGAATAACATCCCCAACACAATTTCATGCACAATATTTACAGTTCTTTATTGTAAATGTAGTTTTTGCCTGACTAATCTTATCTACAGCTTAAGAACCATTCCTAAATTTGACAAAATTCCTCTATGAATCTATTTCTAACATTTTTAACATAATCATTTTTACAAATCTTTATATACGCGGTAGGTACTCAATTAATTATCATTTTCTTGGTTATTGTCATTGAAAAGATTGTTCATCAAGTCTATCTGATCACGTTCGTCAAGTATCTGAATTTATCCAGGGTTACGATAACTTGCTACAAGGGTTTATCTTGGGATTAAAGAAAACTCAGAATAAACCAAAATACAACATGACCACCGTGGCCTTCGGTCGGTGTTGACGTACGCTTTTCATTTGAACAAATTACCATCAGAACGCTACAATAAAAAAAACACATGACATGTCAGTATGCGTCAGAAGGAATGAGATCGTTAATTTTCATTAATTTAACTCTGTATGACCCTGTAATTTCTTTGGGTACAACAACATGCATTATCGGACTATCGAGGATGATCAAATCAGCAAAAAATACGAACAGTACATGTTCTTAATATGGTATTAGCGATAGTTCTGATGAAAACCGCCAGTAGACTAACGAGCATCGAACACGTCTAGCATAGAAAACAAAGGCCAAGTACTTCCATTTGATGTCTCACCTTAAAGGTACAAAAGAGACAAATCAATGACGATGGTGCTGTTATCACTCACTGCAAAGTATTCCTTATAAAGAGAGCTAAGATATCGACGCGTGACTGATTAAATAGCACGCAACTAACAACATGTCAGTTATTGGAACAAATTAATGAATGACTTAATGTTGTTTATATATACATCGTGTCGCTCCGTATTGACCAAAGGTAAGTGTTAACCCATTCATATAAATATTCATAAATATTTTTTTTTTTATATTTTTCTAATTCCGCACAATATATAATGACCAGACAGCATATACACTTTCACACACTTTCATCATCATCATCATCATCATCGTCATCATCATCATCATCATCATCATCATGAAAATATA